ACTCTATGTCTAGCGAAACAAAGCGGCAACAAAAACTGATGAGAAAAATTTCAGCGCACAAGTAAATCATGGGAAATGTATAAGCTCTCAAGGATAAGCATGAAGCGTACCTGGTGATGACGAGGAGGTCGACCGAGATCACTACTCCTACGTATGCTAGTTTCTAACTCAGTCTACAGGAACGTTTCGGCTCTGATACCAACTGTAACGCCCCAGGATTTTATATAACATCCTAGGCAACGCTAAATAATTCTCCTGGCTAACCTTAACTCTAAACACGAGATAAGCAATTCCCTGGGAAAATTATTTAGATGAAATAAAGCTTCGACTCCCATACGTTCTATCAGAAATATAAATGTCATAAACTGTCAGGACTTCACCCTCCATGGGCAATTTAAAAACAACAACATCTCATATTCGCCTCAGTGGCAAAAATTCTTAAAATAAATAAAAACAACCGTACACCTAAACTCCAACGACAACAACGACGTGTTTACCAACAACATCCATAACAAATAAAGTAGTTCTAAAGAATACAAAATTTCCTCTGCGGTTCACACCTAGCAATAACATAAATCTCAAGGCTACTCGTACCCAACGACCCTTCCATCTATCCTCACTAACTAAGCTAGTGATCCTTCCTCGGTCAAGCCCTCTCCATGTCATCACCGCGGTCGACCCCGTTCACACTTGAAAACATAAGGAGACAAAGGGGGGTGAGTACATAAGGTACTCCGTAAGTAGCACTTCCTAACTAGCACAAAAATCATGCTCACAGTCACGACATAAAGAACAACACAATAGCAAGGCAATCAAATAAGCAGTGAGAGATAACGAACAAATAACTTGACATTTAGAACAAAACAAGAGCAAGGCAATCAAATAAGCAGTGAGAGATAGCGAACAAATAACTTGACATTTACATACAACAACCAAGCGTCGAAACTACCAATACCACAACCCATGATTCACTAGCCCTTGTCTCATAGTACTAAACTTTCCTCTGCACCCCCCTGTGTTACTCCCCGCTTAACTTCTCGAGGCATGACGGCTCTTGACATTTATTCCCAAGTTACCGTGCCCTCTCCTTTTATAGTACTTGATGTTCGACCTTGCCATTTATTCCCAAGGCCTAGCACCATTCTACTTTTATCCCTCAAGCCTAACTCCTCGAGTCGCATTGGCCC